AGGCCTTCAGTTGTCATTAGAACACATTTCCCAAGCTATCCCGCTTTTCTCCTTCAAATCTGCCTATAAAGCTCACGTTCGCTTGCTTTCTATTAAGTCTGCTGTTCAAGCAGGGCCATCTACATTTCCTGCCATGTTTGTTTTACGTATCACTTCTCAAACAAGCTCTTTAGCAAGAAAGCTAAATATCCAACATCCCAGCACCCATTCCAAAACGCGGAGATATTTGTAGTTTTACCATTATGCAGGACTCTGTTTACCTATATGCATCTACATTTTTCCTCACTGAGCATGAATATGTTAACCTCTGGTCTGGATTATGAGGGGTGGGTAAGTGGCATGAAGTGAGCAGCAAACATTCAATGCAGCTGTCCACGTATGAATGGAGCAACCCACAGTGGGGAAGACAATGAAAGGAAAGAAAAAAGTGGATTCCAGAAGCAAATGGCCTATGGGGCCAGTTCCACTTGCTTCACACTGATTTTGTCTTAAATCTGGCTTGCTCTTGTATATGCTACTTAGATGTTTCGGGAAGACTTCATGTGTAGCAATTACTTCCCTATAAAATTATCAACAGGAGTTTAAGCCTATTTGGACTTGCTGAAGACGCCATGGAAACAAAGCACAAGCGTTCTCTTCTAAAGCCCATTCTCTGAATTCAGGAAGCTGCAAAACATCTAGTAGGCCAGGTTTAAAAAGAGTATAAGAGAATGCAGGTAAATTCTCAGACCACAAAACCACTACACGTGCTCAATGGCAACAGGTAATAAACAAGTGGCAAGTCCTTCCTAGTGAAGTTCTCCTTCCTTAAACAACTTATTTTCAGTTCTAACTAAACTAGATTGTACGTCTCAAGCAGATTTTTTTTTTTTTTGGAGGGGGAGTTATTGAACTTAGACTTAATCATACTATGTATCATTTTCCTATGTACACATGGAAAACATACCCACATAAAAATGGCAGGTTAAATTTTGTTTAATACACTTAAATCATCCAAAAACCAGTGATGCCTTCAAAAGTTTAAACACTACTATAATTTATTTTTTTTTACATTGTGCAGGAATCAAATGACAGAGATATCTCTGCACTGAACAAACCCAAACTAAGCTGTGAGCAGTTACCTGCATCTTCCAGAAACAAAAGTGATTCAAGTTTGCAAGATGAAACGAACAGCAGCTCTGACTTGCAGGACAGCCATTCTAATAAATAACAATTAGCAATCTTTCGATTTTACAATGCCAGGTTGGTTAAGATTATTTTTTTTAAATAGCATGCTATTTACATTGATTATAATAGCACTTCAGCAGTACCTGCTACTAGCCAACTGACTGATGCTTATTCATACCCCTCAGCACGCTGGCTATGGATATTTATGAGCAATAGCTATGGCTGGGTGTCTGCTGCTTGTGAAATACTATTGGCTCCACAATTATGTCACGGTTTCCACCTGTTCTTCAAAGTCACAGAGGCGCTGCTGTTTTCCAACTGTGCCAGCTTTATGGCAGCACTAGGACTGTCAGACCATATTTGCTTCGGCAGGGGGTCGGACTAGATGATCCCCAGAAGTCCCTTCCAACCCCTACCGTCCTGTGATTCTGTGATTCTGCTATTCCCACTCAAACATCCTCTTCACCATGGACCTATAGGTTGGCATAGGAAATTCTTAGGATACAGAAAAAGATCGTCTTTCAAGGTAATTTTCTACAGAGGTCCCACTGAGAAAAACACTAGACGATACTAGATTTTGTGACATACTACATTTGATTTTGGAAACACAAAAGCAAAATACATCTTCTGGCAGACAGCGATATTCTCGCTGCAAGGTGGCTGCAGGGATGGGGCTTCTTAATCCAAAACTTCTTACTCCATACCTAAAAATTCATTCTCTTCCATCTGACTCCCATCTGACTCATCTTTTGAACTTTCTCTCTTGCTCAGCTTTTCCTTCAAGCCAGGTAGAAATAAGAGCTCTGCAACAGTGCTGCAACTCTTGCTTTTTCTGGTTCTGCTGCGCAAACTCAGATGGACTGCTTTCTCCTACCAGTGTTTTCTCTACTTCCTTCTCAAAGATGACACGTTGCAACATGGTGTTTTATCAAACTCCCCAAACTGCAAACAGTGCTCACAATCCGGTAGCAGGTTTGAGAACCTTCATGTTTTTGGTGTGAAACACTCTCACAGAAAGAAATACTGCCAAGCAAGAAAAATTATCCTTTGTGCAACATGGCTGCCCTCTCGGCACAAAGCACTAGATACCTAACAATCTAACTGATACGCTTACAAACATCTCAAGATGCCATTTTTACTTCTAGGCAGTCTTCAGCAATAAAACAAAGTGTACGGACCTCCAATACTCTGTTAGAAAAGCTCAAAGGTTGCAACATGGTCTGTTTTAAACCTATCCTGTACTGACTCCACCAAAATACAAGAGAAAGCAAAACCATAGCAGAACCAGAGGCAACTAAAAAGTTAGGAGGTTCACAAATGGTAGATTTGTCCTTTACAAGCAATGGAATCCTCGTGGGAACAGAACCAAATTTCTATTTTGTCTTGGAATAAGTAAAACTAAAGCTAGTTTCTGACAAGGGGAAAGCTACAGAGCTGGTGACTGGCAAGACGCCCACATTTTGCCTCAGGCACTAGCACAAGGAAAGCAGAGCAAGAGCGAGCATGAGCACACAGGGTCGGGACAGAACTGCGACACATGGATTGTTGAATAGCACGTGGATGAGTTCCACAAAGATCTGCAGTGTTCTCTAGCAAATAATGTAAAAGAAAACAAGTAAGAGAAGAGCTAAGGGTTCAAATATACAAAGTGTTCCCTGCTTAATTCTATGTGGGACTGTGTTCTCCTAGCCTACACGCAATTTTTAAAATCAGGAACTGCAAAAGATTCTTTGTTGTGACTTCACTGGCTGGAAAAATATAGATGTTATAGAGTTTCCTAGTATATGTGCACTACAAGGAAAGAAAGGTGAAAAACAATCCCAATTTGCTCTCCAGTTCATCTGGATTTTTCTTTTTTTTAACTGGTCTGTTAACGTAGTGAAAAAAAGTTTTTCATAACATTAAATGACGGTTGAGAGAATTTCTATCTGTGAAGACTCACATAGCCAGTATAATGTTCTGCCCCTTTTGTTTTAAGGAGTGCTGTGCTCTGGCCAGCAATATTATCTTTCTCATTTCAACTCAGGTTGAAAGCAGTTAAAAACAGGGAGGTACGGGGCCCAAGTAAAGGAACAGAAGCCACAAATTGCAATGCATGGTATTAACACAGTAAGAAACTGAACAACTAGTTTGAAATTCCTGGGGGGGGGGGGGGGGGGGGGGGGGAAGAGTGATGAGTGCTTTAAAAATATGAAAAAATACCATATTTTCCAGGCTTTGAACTTCCACAGAATGCAAGTAGTGGGCTATTAAGTCACCTGTGGTCTACATGCCTGTTCTAGCAAAACTAATTCTTGTCCTACCAATAACTAGCCAATTATAATAGATTTGAATTTTTGTGCTTTAGTGGGATACAAGTGACAATGTATTTTCTAATACTAGGAAAATGTGACATTACATATAAATTACTAGACAGTTCCTGCTATTGGTGTTACACAAACACGATTTTTTTCTGCAGAGGAACTGCAGTGTTATTAAAATAGTGGTGACACCAGATCTTGTTAGCTGTTGCAAAACACTGAAATCTACTTCTCAGCCTACAAACTGCTGCTTTTCACAATCAAAATTTTTATATAACCAGATTTTGGGGGGGGGTTATGTGATTTTGTAGTCTCAAATAAATGTTGGACTATTTTTCATGCAAGTGCAACTCTGAAGCCTTGTAGTCTTATATAATACTAGAGCTACCACCACTCACAGCTGTCTTGTTAGTGGTGAACATTCAGACTCCTTATAGGAAATAAGAAGTACTGATTTCAAATGGACTTTGCAGCCTATGAATGAACTTCAGAAAAAAGGCTAGCACAAGGATATTTCCATTTCAGAAACTACAGTATCTAAGGCATGTTTTAGCGTACAGCTTGACAACACACTGTTAAAGCTTTTTGATGGGTTGGAAAGTTAGGCCAGTAAAACTCATGTGACTGTAGTGAGCAGTTTGAAATGCAGCAACAGATCTATACTGAAAATTAATACAACCATTCGAAGCACCAAAGCAGAAAAAGGCCTCTAAGCAAAGTTTCTATCCTGTAAGAGTCTATTCATTCCATTAATTAACCAATGTTTTACACTAATTCACTGAAATGTGAAACAATCTACTGGTGTAGTGATTGCATAGTTTTGGTTTTACAGTGCAGCTCTTCTTGCGGTGGTATCCCCAAGACACCATCACTGTAAAGATACCTGGAATAGATGGAATTGTGTTCTTGAAAATCTTTCATAAAAAGATGAAACACATTGAGCAATTAAGGTACAATGTAAACCAACTTCCCTTTATTCACGTTTCCTGATCTTGGTCTTTGTTGTACAAATAATCTGCTGTGCAAAATAGTTTATAAAATACTAAAAAAAGCTTTTATTGTAAAAAAATAAAATTCTAGATATACAGTTACTTTGCACTATCACAAATATTGTCCAGTATTTAACATTTAAATTTAATATCACAATACTCAAGTCATGTAAACTGATGATCCTACTGGTAAGAAAGCCACTACTGAAACTCAGGTTCACTAGAAATTTGTTAAATATTGTCCTCTTTTCATATCTACACCCTTACACAACTCTGATGACCCATACTTGAACTGCACCCATATCATGAAATTAGACATTGGGCCATCCTTTCCTCCATTATCAGGTAAAAAATACCAAGTTAAATGGTAAATTTAGTAAATGGTAAATTTTAGTAAATCCTGGCAACACATAAGCTACACAGTGTAGTCACAGAACAACAAAAGTCCTTGAAACTAAATTTGAACTTTGCTGAGCAGCAGTGTAAAGGCAGCCTACACTGGGTTCTGGGCATGCATATCTTTATTTCTACCAGTATCCAAGCTAGTTGGCTTAAAACCTAGCTCTGATCTCGCTATGCTGCAGTGCAATCGCAATCACTTTAGCATGAAATGCCTCTAAGAAGTTTTGATACAGTCACCTGAGCCCTCATTGTTCCAATTCGCTTTCATTCTGCAAGGTCTTCATGGCTAAACCCCAGAGGGTCATGCTGGAGAAGAACGGTCCTTCATTATTCTTGTATGCAGCAGATGATGTTCGACTGCCTAGCGGATCATTGCAATGACTGTCCAAGCTAACCATAGAGGAACGAATCATGGGAATGTTATCAGACTGTAAGGGTTCTTCTGCAGAAGATACATCTACATCTGCATAAGCATATGGTGGTGGAGTTTGCTGTGTCTGAGCTTTTGGGAGTTTAGCAGAATCGACATTCAGTTTCTGTTGGTTTGCTGAGTCATGGTGTTGAATCATTGATCGCAGCTTACAGTAAGAATCCGCAGAACTATCAAATTCAGTTGAATTTGAAGCTGGACGAATGGGAAATTTAACGGACACTGGTAATAATGTAACGGACATTTCTTGGCCAAAAGAGTCAGAACTCTGAGATTTGTCAAGGTCAGAAGTTTCAATCCCTTGAGTAAATTCATCTAGCGTATTTGGACCTTCATCAGTGGCTTTACAATGCATTTTCTTGTGCCGCCGTAGAACAGCAGAGCGAGTGAAGCATTTGTTACAAGTTTCACAGGTATAGGGCTTTTCTCCAGTGTGAGTCCTCACATGTCTACGCAGGTCACCAGAGCCTGCAAAACATTTCCCTACAAGACAGAAGTAATAGGTTAAGATTTTGTTCTTAACACAAGTGCATAAACATGTTTTAATTAGAGAAAATATCAAGTGATAAGGTATGGTATGTCTCAATCATGGTACTTGGTTTATCTAGAACAGGTTCATATGAGTTCCATCTACTTTTACGAATCAATGACTCATTTCTTCTTCTTGATCTTCTAACTTGTGTTTCCCAGTGCTTTAGTTTTTGTCTCCAGAGACGGGAATATCCATTAGTATTTGAAAGCTGTGAGTGCTCTCAGTTTATATCAATCTTTGTGGAGGAAAAAAATTTAAAATAATCAATTTAATTTGTCTGTCTGGAAAAACAGTATGCTGATAAGCTTCTAAAAATATTCTTCGAGTGAGAACTGCATCATAGAAAGTAATGGTTTGTTCATTACCACGGTACTATTCTTGAAGTGCTGACAAAGTTAGCTTTTTGTTAACTTTGAGCTAACGTAATGCATCAGTCCATTTTTTTATATTCTAGCCAGAGAATGTGTATTTTTTATTGCTGCAAATATTAGAATACAATAAAATATTCATCTGTTTGCCTATTTTCAGAACCACAGGCTGAAATAAGCTCAATTACCATACTGCAAAGAAAAATGTGTCTGAGGCTGAACCAAGGCAAAGTGTAGAAGAACAAGTAGAACAAGACAGCATTAATTTCCAGCATTGCTACATGATTCAGACACCTCACATTCTTTAGGACAGTAGAAATAAGCTGGTACCTATTTGTGATTTTTCTCTCATTTTACCTAGGTTAAAGATTATTTTATTTTGTGTGGACAGATACCAAATAAAGAATTGTATTATCTGAAAGGCAAGTAAAATTCCAGTCTCAATTTTCAGCATCATACTTTTCATTCTACTGCCTAGATTTCTCTTCAGAAAAGCCATTAAACAGTAAGATTACAAATTACTGGAATAATACATGTCATTTTTTGCACAATGTGAATGATTTCTTAATGCTTGATCAGATCCTCTTTGCACAGTTTTCACTTTCTCAGTACAAGATGACCCGGCTAAAATGAAAAATAATCAAAAGGCCACTACAAGACAAGATGAAAATAAGCCTGTTTTAATGACAGCAACACAACTACTTGTTCATACTTTCATATCTTGCATGTCTGTATTTCCTCCCTCTGATGCAAGACCTCCTAATAACATTAGCTTTTCTTGTGCCTCAAGACATTGTAAATAAAAACATACTGCAGTTGGGCATTATCATATGAGCTACCCTCCTCCAAAGCTGATTCCTCAGAACATGAATGAAATTATACCAAATTAGCACTTAAAGGCAGAAAAGTAAGCAGTATGCAGGATGCTACATGACATATGAGATAAGGATAGACAATGCAATTTCTGAGAACTATGTTGTACAAGGATGAATCATTGATCAAAGAGCCATTTTCACACCACCTGGAAGTATGATCTATCTAGCAGATTTTGAAAATGGGTGTTCTCTGCTATGAAGCATCGATCAAGTTTTGATTTTATTACAGAGGTTGAAGCAAAGTAGCAAAAGATTGTTATTATCGAACTCTATGGTTGAATGCAGTTAAATCCGAATAGTATTCAATTGGAAAAGAAGGAGAAAAAAAAAAGATTCCATCAACAGCCAAGTGATGCCAAACCTACCGTTGCATCAGAAAGGACTATACTGAAAATAAATCAAATTTTGAAGCAGCTAGTATCTGTACTACTCTAGCAAGCATGTATGCATGCAATGTTGGTTCCTCTTATTTCCTTTCCCTATTCTTCAACTGAAATTCACTTCTGAACTTACAACAGCTAAAGAAGTTTAATACACCAAATGAAAGACTATGAAGTGTGCAAGACAAGATTTTGTGAAAAACTTTCACAACATGGTATTTCAATTTAAAATCATTTTGGTTAATTCTTATTCTGCTGACGTAGGAACTTCTACTTATTTAAAAAGCAAAGCCACAACTAAGCTATGCACAGTAAATCTTACCACATGCTGAACAGCTGTATGGTCTCTCTCCAGTATGTCTAATTCTGTGCTTTACTAATTTTCGTTGCATGTTGAATGACTTCCCACATTCATCACAGGTGAATACTTTATCTGCTGTATGGGTCTTTTTGTGCTCCTTTAAATTACTGAAGTTACTAAATCCTAGAAAAATATGAGAGACACTGAGATTAAAATGACACATCGCATTTCAATCAAAAAACCTCAGAACTGGTTCTTACATACCTCTGCCACAGATATCACACAGATGAGGCTTTTCTCCAGAATGAATAATAATATGACGCTGAACATCACCAGAAGCAGCAAATCTGTGACAGAATACGGAAACCCCATTACTGCCTTTATAAACCTTTTATATGCCTAAACTGAGTATTATGTGGAAATCAGCTATAATGAATGCCTGATGTTATGAACAAAGATTAAAATCTAAACCACAGATAAATGGATGCATTTAAGAAAAACATTTCAAAGCTGGCAATGTCCAACTAAATTTATGCTAGAAAATAAAAAAAACCCACACAGCAACTTTTCACCACTAATGTTACTAATTTATTCTGCATTTAACTTAAACTTAAGTACAAATGCTACTCCAAAATTAGTGCATTTTCTGCCACCTGTTAGCAGAAGGCAGAAATATTCAATGCTTTTCTTAAATTCATCAAGTTTTCCATACTTCATAATTTTCATAAAATGTAACAAAAATTATCAGACCAAATAATGAAAAAAAATGTGAGGGAAAGGTACAAAACCGCACGATTTATTGTGACTCACACTGTTCAAAATACACACAACAGTGTATCCTTAACTAAAGATACCAAACCACAAAAAATTAAGACCACAGACTATATATGTGGTGACATGTTTATCTTATTATTGAGATTTGCAACAAGACACTTGCAAACATTTATGTATTTTAATCCCATCAGTACACATTTAAACCCAATGTCTTTTAAACAACATTAAGCAGCATGCTGCCTTAGCTCTTGGCCCTTAGTTTATCATGAAGATTAAAGACAATATGAACAAGTTTCATCATGTTAACTCTACTCAGATGAGCAATTCTACTCACCTTTTCCCACAGATTTCACAAATGTATGGTTTTTCACCAGAATGTCGACGTAAATGTGTCTGGAGATTACCTGCCTGAGGGACAGTAATTTAAACATTTAAAATCAGCTAGCTTGTTGTTGTGTACAGATAAAAAGACAATGGTGGGAACTATGAGACTGGCTTTTTATTCCTAATTCTAAGGCAGTGAAGTCTACAAAGCATGTATGAACTCAAGCATTCTTATCTAGTAAAGACAGACTGCCATGTACTTCAAGACCAAATTGCTTATATATGCAATTATACATTGTCAGGAACAGAGGGGAAAAAAAAAGCCTGGAATCAAATGCTAAGGAAAAAGAAAGACCTATAGTTGAAAACAGATTCAATTATAAATGCAAATTACACTTGCTAGATTGCAACGAAGAAGAAAACTTACTAGTAATATGGTTCATGTTAGCTCATTTTCCCTGTCCTACCAATAAAATATTGTTACATCAGGATGTCTGAATTCACCTACCAGGAGGTTAAAAAGAAAAGAATACGGTAAACATTTTTCAATCTCTAGAATACTCAGAGCCTAGTGCTCCCAACCTATAAATATTTACTCATATCAAAAGAAAACAGAACAGGAAGTACAGAAATGAACACATGTGATTACTGGTAACTAATTTTTATTACTTATCTTTCCTCTCCCAATCCTGTCAAAATCATGCTAGTCTAGCAGGCAAACCAGATAATGACCAGACAAAACCAGCTTACTCATTCCAACTTTTTTTTAATAATTTTTTAAAGCCACTGGTGCTCCTGAGTGGCTAATCTACTGAGAGTCCAGTTGTCAAAGCACAAGATAAAGCTAGGCTGGATAGAAGAGCTGCAGATGTTCCATAAATTGTGCATAATTCCACAGTCAGTTTTTAACCTTTCTGTTCTCTTTGACGGATAACTGCCTGGTTTTACCAAAGTACACTAAAGGAACATTAAGTCCTTTCAGTTGGAAATTGGGGATGCAAAGATTATCATGTCCTCCTTAGTCACAGTAAAACAACAAAAATAAGAGCCGTCAGTAATTTCTTCTGACTCTTTTAGATAATAAATTACCTGTGATGATCAATCACTGTAATCAGAGCTTACAATATACCAGAACTAAAGTATTGCAGACACACAAACAGACAGAGGACAATATTAAATGGATCATCATTTGAACCCTGAGAGAGCTTTCTTTAACCCCTGTAAAGATTTTCAGACAACAGCATGACTGAAACACTGTTCTCTCAGGCCAGTAATACTCAAATACATTCAGAGATAAGCATTAGGCACCTATTTCTGAGGAAGAAGACTAAACTGACTTCTCCATGGAGCAATTTATGCTTTGCAAACACAAGGGATTTTATGCAGAGGTACATTTGAGAGAAACATGCAAAAGACAGAATCTTTTCCTCTATCCACATCACAAACCAAACCATATTATAGGCATTTTAAAGCTATTCTGGATAAAGACAGAGGGTGAATTTGAAGTGTAACAATTATTCTGAAATAGTGTGATTACATGCATTTTTAGCCAGAATAAAACATTTTACAAAGAGTAGCAAGTAGATCCATTTCTTTATTACAAGTCTATGACATTTCCTTCTAATGAGGGCAAAAGGTTGTTATTAACTGTGCTGAGAAAAAAAAAAAAAGGTAAAAAAAATCAGTGACTTGTATTCTTCCTAAGCTTTTCAGGTGGTACACAACCTTGGTTAAGGCATAGCATGCCATCCCAATGAAAAAGCGTAAGAGGACTTTTGCTAGCAATTCAGTGAAAGAAAAAAAAATGCTCAGAAGAATCCTCTTACTGATACTGGTTGATACCACTCCTCACAAATTTGGAGACTCGAGAGATGTGTTACACTTAGTTGTTTTGTAACTGGCATGCTTTCAAAATGAACTAATGCATATGGTCCTCCAAAAGAAAGTCCGCAGAGGAGGTAGTCAGGTGTAAACATGATATCCTGGATCACCAGGCAGAGGACGACCACACTGCAACAGGCTGTGTACTAGCAGTAAGGGAAGATGCAGGTTTGGAAGTATAAAAGAAGCCTTTTTCTTCAAAAATCAAAGACATTTATGGTTATTTGTTCCAGACTACGAGTTCCTGTGCCAATTTTTTCTACTTTCTTCATTTTCTGTTTCACATTCCAACACACATAACATCAGTTACATTCAGCAGG